AATGCTTATTGTGGAATTGTAGTAATTTTCCGACTTTTAACTTGAATGCATGAACTGGGTTAGGGTTAGGGTTAGGGTTCTGGGTTAGGGTTGGAGTCCCGGGGGAACCAGGACCAGAGGGTTCTGGGTTGGAGTCCCATGGGAACCAGGACCTTTCTCCCATAGGGTTCTGGTCAATGAAGGCATCATATTAAATCACCGTACGAGCTAAAAGAAATTAAAAAATAAAAATACAATTGCCTTGCAATGAACAGACAAAATTACAGCGTTAGCTTAGGTACGATGCTAACACTCAATAACCAGGACCAGAGGGTTCTGGGTTGGAGTCCCCGGGGGAACCAGGACCAGAGGGTTCTGGGTTGGAGTCCCGGGGGAACCAGGACCAGAGGGTTCTGGGTTGGAGTCCCCGGGGGGAACCAGTACCTTTCTGGGTGGGGTCTGCATGTTCTGTAACTGTATCTGTAAACTGCTGATTCTGAGAGGGAAATTAAATGCTTATTGTGGAATTGTAGTAATTTTCCAACTTTTAACTTGCATTTATGTACTGGGTTAGGCTTAGGGAAACCTATCGGCACACTAGCCCCACCCTTTTGCATAATTTAATGGTAAAAACCTTCCTTAAAATCCTATTGTACACAATCAGATACACCTGATAACAGGGGGCAGAAGACTACACAAAAAAGAATCTTGACTTATCGCACAGTAATAAATTATTGATATTAAACATTTATTTTTGTTTTGTTTTGTCTTTTAACATATTTTGTTAAAAGGCCAAATAAAGACTTAAAACCCCCAAAAAGTAAATTTCTGTTTTGTTTTATTCTTGGATCAGGCTTTAAAGGGTTAAACGGTTAAACTCAGACTCTTGCTTCAGAATTTCCACAACAAGACCATTACAGCCGCGCCACAATAAAGCCATTTTTAAAAAATGACGCTTAATCGAAAACATGAGGCTCGTAATACGCCCACAATTGATTTGCGATAATGCAATTAACCGTTTCGGAGGTTTCTGTGCTTCGTAAACACCCACTCTCACGATTGACTCCGGCCTAAATGAGCTCCATCCATCCTAATACGGCTCCTTCCACTTCACCCCCTACTCACAAAGGAAGTTGTCTATCTATACAATCACTATTAGTTTATCAGGCAGGTGGCAGGGCGGGAAAGCAGCTGCCTTGTGGGGGCTCTTGGACATTTCACCCACTCCGTCTCCTGGAAATGTGATTTCCACCCCGTTGGGGAGCACACATCCCTGGGAAAAAGCCCGTGTTTTCGCTCCCAATCTGCCTCCTGTGGAGGACACCTGGCAGTCCAGCTTCCTCCCTCCTTCTTCACCATTTAGCACAATAAATCCCAGAAGTGGCCTTAAGCTTTTGGGAGTTAGCATTAACACTCGGTGGAATCACCTCCCTCTCTTTTGGTCGTTAGCGTCCCCGGCTAATTGATGGTGGGACTCTTAGACCGATGGTTTGAACGGTCAATGAAGACGTCATATGAACTCACAGTACGAGCTAAAAGAAATTAAAAAATAAAAATACAATTACCTTCCTCTGAGCAGCCTTTTAAACTTCACAGACCGAAATTACAGAGTTAGCTTAGGTACCATGCTAACACTCCATACTGTGGAGGACACCTGGCAGTCCAGCTTCCTCCCTCCTTCTTCACCATT